ATAGAATAGAATAGAATAGAATAGAATAGAATAGAATAAAATAGAATAGAATAGAATAGAATAGAATAGACTAGAATAGACTAGAATAGACTAGAATAGACTAGAATAGAATAGATTAGATTAGATTAGATTAGATTAGATTAGATTAGATTAGATTAGATTAGATTAGATTAGATTAGATGAGACCAGTTGAGATAAGATGAGGTTAGATGTGTTAAAATGAGATGAAATGAGAGGAGAATAGAGCAGAGGATACGTGCCGAGATGTTACGAGAAGAGGCAAGAGGAGACGAGTGAATATAAGATTATTGGATCAAAGAGGAGGGGTAATGAATTAAATGTGTTGATTTGTGAAGAAACGTGATGTGTTTATTTATTAGAGCGGCTCAATTTTTGATTTTGTTCTTATTTTGCCTTTTTTGCTTATTTCTTAACTTTTATTCTATTTTTTCAGCTCAATTCCCTTCAGCCCTTTATATAATCTCCTTCATCGTGCACAATTATGGCTTACAGTCCCACTTGCCATTTCTGGTATATTTTGCGTCATGTCTTTTGAAGATATATGCATTATTATGCCTTCCCTACTAACCTCATAATACGTGTTTGATCAGGCCTCTTTTATGTAGACTCCTAATTTTGCTCAATTGGATTTCTTTCCCGCCCCCCCTCGGCCTGGAATGTCGTCATTTTACTTTTCCTCCTCCTCATTGGGCCGCTGCATCCGCATTACGCCCTTTCAACTTGACCAAACTCCCGCCGCTTGCAGACTGAAATCAGGCAGATGCTGCTTCCTCCAACTCTGCAATCGGAGCCACGGTTGCCTATGGCGAATAGAGATATCTGCTTAGCCCGAATGAACACCAGCTGTCACCCATCAGCGAGCATAACTCCATCGTGCCCGACAAAAGGAGTTCCGAAATTAATTTTCATCCACCTTTATAGACATTTTGAGCTATGTTGACACTGTTGCCACAGACCGACTAATGCTTGAGAAAAATTAAAATTTATTTATTTATATTGCCCCACACTCCTCAATGTATACCCGGCAGTTTTCTCGACTTGCCACACTCGCAAAACGGTAGTCCATATTTTTTCTGTCAACATTGTATAAGAAAGTGTTGAGTAGTATGGTAGTAGTATATACTCTGTTGTAGAGCGTTTCCTTTCTGCATACTAAGCCATAAGCTAGCTGAGTCAAACAATTTTAACCAATTTTTGTAACTGAATTCGAATGTTAATGAGACTACAAACCGAGAGTTGAAGATAAGACTTATTTTATTTCTCGATCCATTTAGCAACTTCAGTTGGATTTGAACCATGCACTTGCGGCCTGAGAATCATATAATTTTGCAACTATGACAATCAGCCCACTTCCCAATGTGCCTAATGATAAGCTTGGCCTTAGTAGGATTTTTGTTCAAAGAACGGGAGGTTTTAGACAAACCCAGACCCAGCTTTCCAGCACCAGTTTCTTAAGCCAATTTTACGTTTCTCACAGCCTTCTGGCTTCATGGTGTTAACGGTATCTAAGGCCACTAGAAGATAGAGTGCCCAAAAGGGCGAATTCTGTCAATTAACATTACACAACTGCAACCATCAATGCAATCGTCATCCTATCCACATGTCTATTTAACCGTATAATACTTTTTTACACTTTTCACACTACTCACTTCTCCGTCGAGTAGTCGCTTATACTCGGCAGCTTGACGGGACCACTTAACTTCACTGTCTTTCTTTCTTCCTCTTTTCTCGACTAGTCAGC